CTCTGTAATTTATAAATGTTTTGTTTTGCACTGAGGTTTATGCAGAGCAGTCTTTAAAATACTATTTTGATTGTGCAAAGGCCACTGTGTTCGACAAATAAAGTTTTTTGACTCAGCATTTGTTGAATTGGAACATTTGATTGTAAAGAACAACCTTCAATGCATTATAAGGAGTTTCTTTTAATTTGAATTTTTTATTTTTGACTTAAGCCTTTACATTTTAGTTAAAATGGGTATCATCCCTATTTGAAAATTAATTTAAGATTGCTCAAGTGGATTCTGTTGCTATTGGAACCGTTGATTAGCGCTTACGTATTAAATATTTAAAGTCAATTCGAAAACAGTATTATGTTATACTATACTATTAAGAGGAATCAGCATAAATTAACTTACTTTTGCCTTGATTTTTCCAGCGTTGTCGGAACGAATCGACTTCTCGCACGCAGCAGGCACCAGAATGTCGCATTCCTCGTACATAAGTGCTTCCGCGTCTTTGTACGCTTCCGCTTTTGGATAGCCAACGATCGTACCCTTCGCCTATTGGTCCTTGCAAGATGAACAACAGCTAATTGATGGGTGGATTTTGTCTTACTTCCTTGTACTTGATAACGTCTTCAGGGTCGATGCCATCTTTGGGGTTGTAGATGGAACCGTCGATTTCCACGATGCCTATGCACTTGCTGCCAGACTCATGCAGAAACTTCGCTGTGAATGTGCCTACGTTGCCGAACCCCTGAAATCAATATTCAGGTTGCAGGGGGCGCACGAATAAATGACAAGGTTTTGATAACCTGTACGATGAACGTCTTGCCCTTGAAGCCTAGAGGCAAGCCAACGGATTTCATGTACTCCTCGTCGTGCAGGAAGACGTTCAGGCCATTCCATACGCCCTGTCCGGTAGCAGCCGTGCGACCATGGATTCCGCCGAACTGAATTGGTTTTCCGGTGACACAAGCGTATGCGTCAGCCTCCAGGTGTCCTATAGCACCGATAGTGTATTGCAAACATCATTCATAGATATATATATGCCATGGTTTTAGAAAAATTGCTCAGTACGTCCTGATTCCGATATTTGCTTTTACGACGGACTCCTCCTCACATCGGCTGCTGCGATGTCATTCGTCTTTTGGTGTACGTTTGATGCACTGTGATCCATCTTAC